TTGGAGGGAGGGTTGATGCCAACATCGTTGATGACTCTTGGGTTTACACTGGTCTTCCTCCTCCTCCTCCTCCTCCTTCTTCTCCGCCTATTCCTCTGCCTTCCTCCTCCCTCCTACCCCTCCCCCTCTCCCTCCTCCTCCTCCTCCTCCTCCTCCTCCTCCTCCTCCTGCTATGTCCCTGTTGCGGTATGACGCCTTGCCCAGCACTTTCTGACCCTGCATGCACCTCCACATCCCTGACCAGGGCACCTCGTCTGCGCATCGTTTCTGGATGGGCTGGTGGGGTTATGCGACACGTCTGTGGTAAAGTCGGTGCCGGGCCGCCCCTCGAGAAATGAGTGAAACAAGGAGGAGGAGGAGGAGGAGGAGGAGGAGGAGGAGGAGGAGGAGGAGGAGGAGGAGGAGGGGGACGAGGACGAGGACGAGGACGAGGACGATGATGATGAGGAGGAGGACCTCCCTTTGTGCGCAGCCCTTCTTGAAATCACACCAGCCCTTTGTGCGCAGGTGGTCTAACGATATCTTTCTTTCCTCTTCCAAAACCCCCTCTTCCTCTTCGGGGGGGTACCCCTCCCCCTCCCCCCTTCCCAAGACCTGGTCGGGGGGGGCCGCGAGGTGGCAGAGGGCCCCTTTCCCGTCAAGATGGCTCCAAGATGGCCTCAGCGAGCCCAAGATAGCCTCCAAGATCACTCAAGATAGCCCAAGATGGCTCAAGAAAACTAACAACATGCTTCCAAGAGGCCCCAAGAGGGCCACAAGACGGTTCCAGGTGCTCTCAGAGCTCCCTCGGGCCCCCCCGAGAAGCCAAATCCTTCAAAAACCTAAGGAACATCAATGAGTGTTGCCTTCTCGCCTTTTCGCTTCGGATGCGCTTTTGAGGCCTCAACATGGCCCCAAGATGGCCCAAGAAAACTTCAAGAGGGGTCCAAGAGGCCCCCAAGACAGCCCCAAGAGCGCCCAAGATCGCCCCAAGAGGGCCCCGTGAAGCGATTTCGATGGCCCCGGAGGGGGTGGCAAATCGAGGACCCCCCCTTCCTTTGATCGATGATCGCCAAGACGGCCCCAAGAGGCGCTCCATAGCTCCCAAGAGGGCTCCAAGAGAACGCCAAGAGAGCCCCAAAGAGCCCTAAGAGGGCCCCATGAGGGCCCTAAGACGCCCCCAAACCCAGAGATCTCTCGGTTCACCCTGGTTGCTCGCTTTGTTTCTCTAGATGTCTTTTCGTCCCTTTTCCCGTCAGCTCTCATGGGCAGGGCTTCTGAATGGGCTGGTGGGGAAACGCGAAGCGTGAAGAATAGAACTGCGAATGATGTATACGAGGATCTGCTACCCTACCAGCACATACTTTCATCGACCGCTACACACGAAATTATGCAGCGTGGGCCCCTCTCCAAGTGTGACGTGTGGCCTGCTGCGCACGACGTCCTCATGCCAAGGAACGACTCCGTCTCCTCCCGGAACAACCCAGCTTCTTGGATCCCCGATCAGAATTACGACAATCTCAACTGTGATGGGCTCCTTCCCGCCTTGGAACTCTGCCTGCGAGTCTTCGTTTGCCCGTGTGGTAGCCCGCCGTAGCAGAGCACATGCCACACCCGGGTGGATGTCAACGGGGGGGCAGCTGGGGGGGGGGGAGAGGAACAGGAAAACGGCTCCAAATGGGGCCTCTGATAGGCCGAGGGATTTCGTCATGTGATGCGAAGTCCCCCCCTCCCCACCGAATCCCCCTCCTCTTCCTCCTTCTACTCCTACTCCTTTTCGTATCACGTAACGGATCCAAGTCGCCAATGTGAATGACCGCCGCGGACCCGGAAGATGCTGGAAAAACGCGACTGCAGCTTCCACCCCCTCCCGTGACCAAAAGCCCGACCCCAGCGGCGGCCCACCAGCATAGCCCAGGCCGCTGGCGAAGCCTCGCTCGACTCCCGCTGGAGAGGAAGCCACTTGGAGCACGCGGATTGCCGTCGAATCAGCGAGCAGACACAGCACTGGGCTCTCGGAGCTATGGGTGCAGACGGCTGTGGCCGGAGGCCTCTAGATCTCCCAGCTCTCTGAACATGTCCAGCGCATCTTGGGCGAGGGCCAGGCAGCCCGCCGCGTCCTCCTCGTGGAAATGTGTCTCCGCCACGCTGAGGAGCATGCCGGCTTCCCGCCTCTTCTCCCCGCTGCTGGCGTCGTCCGCGATGGCGGTGTACCGGGCCGCTACGTCCTCGCGCGCGAAGCAGACGGGCGCCAGGGCGTCGTGGCCGAAAGCTGGCCTCAGCTGCGGTCTCGACTTCGGACATGCCGCCAAGTACGCCGCCCTCGCGTGGTCACAGATGTCGCGGCTGGTGGTGCTTCTGGCCTCCAGCTTATCCCATGTCGCCTCCATACCTGCCGCAACCCCGCTTTCGGCCCAAGCCAGCCCAGGCAATTTAAGCCAAGGCTGGTCCCTTGAACACAGATATGCACAAACACGAATGTGCACACAATCGGGAGGTCCCGCCAGAAATGGATGGGACAGGAATGCGCGACCAGGGCAAGGGGGAGGAGAGAGTGACGACTGGAGCGGCATGTAGATGGGGAGAGCCTCCAAGGAAGCGTAAGAGGACGAAGGAAACGGCAGCAGCAGGATGGCGATAGGCGAAGGAGGACCGACGAAACGGATGAAGCTGACGGACATCCACCGGCCCCGTCTGGGGACATCCAACGAGAAAAAACCCAAACGGTTCTAAATACACTGGGCAGGCAAATATCCCCCAAAGACGATCCAACAAGACGACCCAAACCCAACGAGCTCTCACCTGCACATGTTCCATTATGCTTTGCCCGTTGCCTGTTTCGACCCCAGATGCCCAACGAAGGTTGCAAGACTGCGTTAGACAGCCCCAGGATGACCCCCACAGGACCGAAGATGCCCCTTTCACCTTCGAAGACGGCCCAAGAATACCGAGATATGCTCAGGTACTGCCCTGATGTGCCCCATCGAGGCCTCATCATTGCACCCCGGAAGCCCCAAGGTGGCCCCTAGAAACCCTAAGAGGGATTGAATACGCTTCAATCGGGGGCGGCCAAGAGGGGGGCGTCCAAGAGGGGGGGGGGGGGGGGCGCAAATCATGGCCGGCGGCATGTGCGCGGCCCAGGGGGGGGGGGGCGGGGACGCATTGAGACAAGAAGAGACGCCCGAAAATCTGGAGAGATATCATAGCCCCCCCCATGATATCCATCCCCCCTAGTCATCACCCTCCTCTTGGCCGCCCCCGATTGAAGATGGCCCAGTGAGGCCCGAATGCACCTAGATGGACCCCAAAAGAGCTCACCCTTGGGAGCCGGCGGCAGAAGGCACAGCCCTTCAGATACCCGGGCACACGGCCACTTCACATCACTGCGCGCACCACGAAACGTCTCTGCACACACGACTGAGCATACACAATCAAGGGATGCCCTTCACGAGCCGTCACCGAAAAGAGGCCGTGAGAGAGACAGAGAGAGAGAGAGCGATAGAGAAACATACATATATATATATACATATATATATATCTATATATATATATATAGATTGAGAGAGAGAGCAAACATAGACAATATGATGATATGCAAATGATCAAATCTGGAACAACGTATGCGGGGTGAACGCGGTAAGGAGAAGAAGGGTGGGGCTCGCAAAAGAGGTGGAGCTCAGGGTGGCGTGGCATCCAATCACATAATCTCGCATACGTACACCCAGACCAGGTAGTGTCAGGCAGAGCATTGCTGCACGTCGAACGGCACCTTGTTTCTCAATGCTGGCCAGCAAACGTGCTCACACTCCTCTAAGAGGAACATGCGCGCCAGCTGACCTTAAAGATCTGAAATGAGCGAGTCTGACACTGAATCCATCAATCTACACCGACCCCTGCTTGCCAGAGATGAGAAAGCGTGTGGTATGCTTGGCTGCTTCCCTCCCCTGTTCCTTCCCCCCTCCCCAGCCAAGGTTCCAGCACTCTTTTGCGAGGGGTGTCCCAGGAACTCCTCAGCGCATCTCTGGGCCGTTCACAGCCTTCGTGTCCACTCTCGAGCGCTTCCAAAGTGCCCGAGGTACCTTCCAAGAGGGCCCCCCAAATGGGCCCCACCGCGCTCAGGAAGTCGGAAAACTCGGGGAGGTACTGATTGCCCCCGAGGAGGCCGAGCGAGGCCTCAATAGGGGCCTTGGCCGGCAAGAGGTCCTGGTAGACTCCAGCTACACCTTCGAGGCCCCGCGAAGGCCACGAGGCAGGCCACAGTGTTCGGTCACAAGCTTGTCGAGGCCAAATCCCTCGACACTCACTGATTAGAGGATGTGCGTGCTGGTCCCCTCCTGGGGGAGGAGGAGGAGGAGGAGGAGGAGGAGGAGGAGGAGGAGGAGGAGGAGGAGGAGGAGGAGGAGGAGGAGGAGGAGGAGGGTGCTGCTCGTGTCGCTCATTCCCGCCTTTGTTGCTCCCCTCCTCCGCTGTTCGGGATTTCTACTTCGTCCGTCCCTCGCGTCCCTCACCTCACCTGTTCGCGTTCCTGATTATCCTCTCCCTTCTGCGCTCTATACTTGCGCTATCCATTCCCACCCAAAGCCACCCTCCATATCGACGCCACAACATCATCGAATGAACTCCATATCCCCCAGCCACACGCTGGACGCAGCCACTGGAGTTCCTACCTGGACCTGGCGACCATGGCTCATGGACTTCTCGCCTCATCTGGGGGTTGGCGGAATGGCGTAAACAACTTGAAGAAAGTTGGTATGCATTCGACAGCTCATGACTCTGTTGAGCAGGTCCAGACCCAAAGCCAGAGCTTCGCCGAACAAAATGTTGCTCGAGGCTATTTGTCGACGACTGTGTGCTAGAATGCTTCCCGATCGAAGGGTGCAACAATTCGTTACTCCTGGTACCTGTTGTCCGAATGGAACTGGCCATGCCATCGCCATCAACATCAGACTGCGCATTTCAAATCTTTTTGCGCTGGGCTACGACCTAGAACATGCAGAATTCTACCTGTCATATTCCGCCGTTCAATATCCACCCTTGACAGCTTGCATCCGGTTCTGGCGCCGCCAATACTGCGGGGGTGGTAACACGGGCAAATAAGATACCATGGCAGTGTCAGGCATGGGCATGACGCAAATGCAACTTGCCTACGCCACACGCCTATCCTCATGACTCACATGCTGGCAATGGGGCAATGGCCTTTTTGCGCTGGCTCAAAAGCGCACGGTGGTACAACATCTCTGGCCACTTGCCTCGACCTTCCGCTTCTTCAAAATCACGTGCGAGCCCAACTGATCCAAGTGGCCCCTGGCTTACCGTCAGGTTTGCCCACCCCTTGGACCCTGGGCAATGGCGTGGGAGATGCCTGCCCCTCCCCCGACACCTGCCGTTGGGGGGTGGGATAGACTTCTGCGTCTGAAGTGCGGAAAAAGGGCGGGGTGAAGGGAGAACTCCCGAAACGGGCACGGAAAAAGGGGGTACGATACTAAACGGTCTGACGGCAAACGTTGTCCAAAACCAGCAGCGGCTGCTGCTTGGCAGGCGATTTGTTTCTCAAGTGGACAACGCCTGCGGCAGGACTCATACAGAATTCTATTCAAGGTGGGCAAGAGCTGCTGCTGCTTGTCGCCTCAATCCGTCCGTCCCCGCTTCGACTGCACCGATAGGAAGCCTGACATAGAACGGGGGCCCTGGGCTGCCTGCGCTGGACGAGTCCATCATGGAGGGACCACTGCAGGCCAAGTTCGGGTGTTGCCAGGAGCGTCCCTGGCCCATGGAGTCCCCTGGATCTCCCAGGGCTCGACCTAAACCATAGTTTGAATGCTCGTGCTGTCTTCGTGTAGCCTCATTCTGCATTCGTTCCGCCCTTGCTGCGGAACGGGATCAAAACGAAAACGGCCCGCAAAGATGCCAAAATCGGGGGCGGCCAAGAGGGGGGCGTCCACGAACGGGGGGGGGGGGGGCGCAACTCCTCGCCGGCGGCACGTGCGCGGCCCAAGGGGGGGGGACCAGGACGCATTGCAATGAGGAGAGGCGCCATGAAATCTGGGGAGACATCATAGTCCCCGCCAGGAGGAAGAGGGAAGAGGAGGAGGAGGAGGAGGAGGAGGAGGGAGGAGGCGGAGGAGGAGGGATATCCCCCCCCAAGTCCTCACCCCCCTCTTGGCCGTCCCCGACTAAACACCGTTCCGGTCGAGCCTGGGGACCCCCCCTCGCAGGCCCAGGTGGCCTCCCGGAGCTCCCCCTCGCGAGGCCCCAAAGGGGCCCCTCGCGGCCCCCCAAGACTGGTACGCGCGTCTGGGAGCGCTTGCGGGCCGCGGGGCACCTCTGGCAGCCCCCGACGAGCTTGCTTGGACGTGGGCCGACGTCCAGCCTCAGCTCCCGAACGATTGACGACAGGGCCCGAAAAGAACCGAAGACACGGGACGAAGGACGGAGCCCCAGGACCCAGAACGAAGCTGACAGGGAGGACCAACCGAGCAAGCAGGGCCGAACACCTCGCGTGCCAGTCCCCGACGAGTGGCGATGGAGACGAGTCGCGGACGGGGCAGCGCGCGTGCAACTGCCGCGTGTCGGCCGGGGGGGACGGCCGCCCCGTCGGCGAGCGCGAGCACCTCGGATCGCCTTCGCACACCGACCGCCTTCCCCAACTCCCCGTCCTCGTCGTCCTCTTCCCCTCGTCGTCCTCCTCCTCCCCCGCGCCCTCCATCCCCCCTGCATGCCCTCCTCATCGTCGAAGCCCTCGTGGTCCTTGCCCTCGTCCTACGGAGCCTCTGCGCCAGGCTCCCGGAGAGGACGGCGGCGGAGGCCGGCCTTCAGGCCCATGTCCCACACCTCCCAGCCGACGAGACCGTCGGGCACCTCCCCTCCACCTTCGAGGATCTGCCTGCGAGGGAGGCCTCGACATCACACCAGCACTCTGAGCGTCGGTAGCAATATCGCTCTTCCAGCCTGTCCCCTCCTTTTCTCCGGCCCACCTCGTCGCCGTCGTCTTCGTCATCCTCCTCCTCCTTCTCCTCCCACTCCCACTCCTCCTTCTCCTCCTCCTCCTCCTCCTCCTCCGCCTCCCTCTCCTCCACCTCCTCATCCTCCTCCTCCTCCTCCTCCTCCTCCTCCTCCTCCTCCTCCTCCTCCTCCTCCTCATCATCATCATCATCATCATCATCATCATCATCATCATCATCATCATCATCATCATCATCATCATCATCATCATCATCATCATCATCATCCCCCTCCTTCTCTTCCTCCCCCATCCCCACTCCGCTCGAAGGAAGAGGCTCCAGGAACCCTCGAGCCGACACTAGGGAGATAGATAGAGAGAGAGAGAGGATTGGACAGGAATGGAGAGGAAGGGTGAGTAAGAGAGGGAGAGAGAGAGTATAAGGAGAATAGCACAACGCCAGAAACATTAACTTTTGGCGCTCCGCGCGGATTTCTTGGATCTGCGCCGGACCTCCCTCCTTGGCGCGCGGAGCGCGCCAGTGGCGAGGCGCCGCCAGGGGTGCCCAGCGCGGATCCAAGAAATCCGCGCGGAGCGCCAACAAATGATGTTCATGGCGTTATTTTGTCTTTTATTTTTCTTGTGAATTTTCTTCTTCGAGGAAGAGGGAAAGACACACAGAGAGAGAGAGAGAGACAGAAAGGGTGCCGGAGAGAAAAGCAGAGAGACCAAGAGACGGAACAACTGACGATAAGCACGACGAGACTTCTGGTGCATCCCCAGGCGGGCGGCACCGTCTCGCCGGAGCCCGGGCACCTCGCGTAGGCCTCGCCAGGAGTGCCCCTTCCTCCATGCTCTCTCCCTCCGTCCTTACTCCTCTCGCTCTCCCTCCTCACCCCTTCTCCGTATCCTCCTCTCACCCTCTCTCTTTCTATCCCCCCCCATACTTACCTACATGTATCCCACCCGCCGACTCCCCCTCCATCTCTCTCCTCCACTCCCCCTCTCCCGCCGTCTCCCCCCTTCCTCTCGCGCGAGCCTGCTCACACCGCCACCCGACGAGCGGCGGCCAGATGCCACCGCTGCCCCCCCCCCCCCCCCCAAGAGAGAGCGACACTCCAGTCACGAGCGTCGCCGACGAGGTCCCTGAAGCCAAGGCCCTGTGCCACTCCGCCCTCCGTCACGCCCTCGGGCGTGAACTACTGCTGGGGGGCGACAAGTGGGCGGGGGGGGGAACGCGCACCTTTCGCGCCCCTTTTGGGCCCCAGCGGCCCCTTCAGGGCACAGGAGGTGCACCTTGCTTCGTCTTCCCCCGCCCCCATTTCTCGCACCCCCCTGACTCGACGCCCGACGCTCCATCTCTCAGAGCACTCCGGCCGCGGGAGCGCACGTTGCGCTGTGAGGGAGAGGAGGGGAGGGCAGTTACTGTTAGGTCGGGCCTGTCCCCCTACAGGGGGATTTTGGACGAAAACAAACATATTAAAACAATACTCAAAAGATGCCCCAAAAAATACTCAAAAAAAATCCCCATATGTTTTTTTTTTGAATATTTTTGAATATTCCCCCTGTAGAGGGACAGGCCCAACTGAAAGTTACTGGACCGCGCCCATGGGGCGACCTCTGGTCGAAGCGACACGGCGGATGGCGGCGGTTGCGTGGCGAGAACTCTCAACCACGCATGCTGCTCTCGATGTGGCCCTGCTATGCCCTGCACGGGCGCGCGCCTGCACCGAACGCAAGCTCACCCCACCCGGGCCGCAGCGGCCATCACCCGACTTCACAGCCGCGCTGCTCTCGATGATGCCGGCGTGGAAGTGCTGCTCTGCATTCGCGACAGAAGCACCCACTCATACATGGGTATGTGCGGATGTGTGTGTATATATATATATATATGAAAATGGTAGCACATCAGAGCAATCAATGTTAGCCAGCGTCGACACCAACCAGTGTGCTTCTAGCAATATGCACTGTGAGAAATGTCTGGGGGCAATATATGTGGTTCACTCTACGTGGTGCAGTATACGTCGTGCAACATATGTTGTGCAAACTGTGTTGGACAGTACAGGTTGTGCCATATATGTGGAGCAATATAGGTGGTGCAATATATGTTGTGCAACTTCTGGTATGCAATACATATCGTTGTGCAATCAAGGTTGTGCAACCTATGTTGTGCAACACATGTGGTGACATCGAGGTGGTGCAACGCATGTGATGCAATGTAAGTAGTGCAATCTATCGTAGTGCAATGTATGCAGCGCCATCTACGTCGTCCAATACATGTGGTGAAATCTAGGCTGTGCAATCTATGGTGTGCAATATATGTGATGCAATCGACTTGGTGCAGTGTACGTGGTGCAGTCTATGCGGCGCAACTATGTGGTGAATTCCAGGTTGTACAATCGATGTTGTGCAGGATATGTGGTGCAATGCGCGTGGTGCAATGTATGTGGTGCAGTGTACGTGGTGCAAACTATTGTGGTGCAGCCTATGCGGCGCAATCTGCGTGGTGCAATCAACGTGGCAAAATCGATTGCAATGCAACGGTGGGGGTGCAACGGGGAGGCGGCGACGGGCGGCGACGGCGGCAACAAGCGCGGCGACCGACACCCAGGCCCAGAAGCAGCGGCGACGGGCGGCGACGGCGGCAACAAACGCGGCAACCGACACCCGGGCCCAAAGCAGCGGCGACAGACGGCGGCGATACAAGCGCGACGAACAATACCGCGGCCCAGACGACGGGCGGCGACGAGGCGGCGACGGGATGGCGACGGCGTCAACATAGTCGCCAGACCAACATCGGGACCCAGTTCCTTATTCCAAAAGTGAGCACCACTAAGTGCAAGCACTGATTGAGGAATTGAAACATGTTCCAGACTACCGCGTCGCCGCACTGAGTGCAGAGTCCTCAACTCCATTTGACTCTTCTGCGTGGAACAATGGTTGCTTACTAAAGGGCCTGTTTTCCTGGGCACTGGAAATCCCAGGGCCCAGGGCGGCCTGGAGCTTCTCGGATGAATTTCCTGCGGGCCATCGGGCATCAAGACGAGCCAACAGAGGCCCAAAATGACACCAAGAAGGTCCAAGGGGGCCCCGAGGCCGCCCCGGGGCCCCGAGCTCCTCACCTGCCAGGCTTCCAGTGGCCTCCAAGAAACGTCCAGCGCGAAAGATCCGCGAAGGCCGTCCTGGTTGGCTCCTGTCGTCGTCGTACTGCATGCCCCTCCAACTCTCGACCCGCAGCCCGGGCACGGTGGCGGGATGGGCCGAAGAGCAACTAGATTCTGCAAACGTGTGCATGGTGCAAGCCTGGCTTGCATGGCGTGAAGAGGGTATCTTCAGGTCGGGCATGTCCCCCCACAGGCGGATTTGGGACGAGCAATAAAACAAACATCATAAAAAAACAATCAAGCATAGTCGAAAATAGCAGCAACATCCTCCCCAGACTATTTGTTGACGATTCCCCCTGTAGAGGGACGTGCCCGACTTAAGGTTAGCTTCAAGAAATGCGCAAAGGCGGCCGCGAGCCGCGGCAGAGGGGGGCACACGTGGGCGGAACGCAGGGGGGCCAGCACGGGCACCGGGGCAGGGGCGGCACGGAGGACGATCGGAAGCGAGCAGCGCACAGTCGAGGCCAGGCCACCGCCCCGAGATGGAAACTATCCCGAGCACGATCGGCAGCCGCCAAACGGGGTGGTGACCACACCGTGTGGTGCGTCGGTGGGGACTCGGGGTCACCGCACGGTTTGGGGATTCGAGTCCCTCTCCGAGGACGTCTCGGGCGACAGGGGCCTCCAGGGTCCCAAGACTTGGGGTTCCGAGGTCACCGCACGGTCTGTCACCACACGGTGTTGGGATCCCTGACACAAGTGCAATCGAAGAGCAGCATTGAATCACAAGGGCAACGATGAAAGAACAACATCGAGGCCAGCACGCTCTGGAGCAAAAGGGAGCATCAACATCAAGACTCTACCATCACTCCAGGCCGCCGGCAGTAGAAGCCCTCCGCGCGACCAGGGTCGTGGAGCGACGTGGTTTTCGCGAGCTCAGCGCATTTGTTTAACTCATCGACATACTCGAAGCATGCACGCCAGCGCAGTGCGACCCCACCCCTGCTGCTGCCAGCATCTCCCCGTCCATTCGATGCGCCCGCTCTGGCCTCTTGGGAGCCGACGAACGGGCCGATGCACCAACGCCTGTACGGGGAGTTGAGGAGCGAGGTAAGACAGAATCGACTGGGGTGTAGGCGAGGGAGGAAGTGGAGGAGGAAGTTCAGGATGAGCACGAGGAGGGAGAGGAACAGGATATAGAGAAATACAAGGAGGAGGAGGAGGAGGAGGAGGAGAAGAGAGAGGTGGAGGAGGAACGGGATCTGGACCTCAATGGAAGATGCGGAGCCGAGCCGAAGGGAAGAGAGGGCGAAGAAAGGGAAGCGAGAGGCGGGATAGGAGCATGGAGCATGGACTGGCCTGCCTCCAGAGAGGTACGTCCGATAAGAAAAGAGGTGAAGCGAAAGCATGCTCACGGTATGGAAGACGGGCGAAAGTGCGGGCAGTAATCCGCCGACCCTGTCGGCGTGTGTGAGGGGCTTGTCCGCTCGAGTCGTCGTCTTCGTCATTCGTTAGTCGTCGTCTCTGCGTCCCCTTCCTCTGCGGCGCCCGTTTCCCTGGGCCCGTCGCCGCTCCCCCCCATTTCCTGGGCCCTCCTCCTCAAGCGCACCAGCAAAGCGAAATTGAACAACGTCGTAGTTGAGTCGAAAGGAAGCCCCCCCGGGGGGGTCCCGGGTTCCGAAAAAGCACCAGGGCTTGCTAAGAGTGCCCGAAGATGCCATCAAGACGGTCCAGGACCCCGAATCGCCGAACGATCTGTCCACGACGCCTTGACGGCATCCAGACGGTCCAGGCGGCCTGCAAGACGCCTCAAAATGCATCCAGGAGCACTCCCAAGAGGTTCCCAACATGGCCCAAGAGGGCCCCAAGACGGCCTGAGACGCCTCCAGGACAGGCCAAGAGGCACCCAAGACGGCTCCAAGAGGGCGCCCAGACGGGGCACCCGAACGGACATCTCGATCCCTCGCCCCCCGAGAAGGTCTCAGGAAGCTCCAACAGGCCGCCAAGACGCCCCCAAGAAGCCCCTGAAGGCCCCCAAAAGACTCCCACGAAGCCCCCCAGGAGTCTCCAAACACTTCCGCTAACTGCCCACCAGAGGCTCCTGAAAGCGCTACGAAGAGACCTCGACAGGCATCCACTGCTACCCCTGCTCCTCACCCTTCTACTGGTCCTCCTGCTCCTCCGCCTGGTCTTTATCGTCCTCCGCCTGCTCTTTGCCCTCCTCGTCCTCATCCTGCCCCAACTCCCCCTCCTCATCCTCATCCGCATGCTCTTCCTCCTCCTCCTCCCCCTCCTCCTCCTCCACCGCGTGTTCCGCCTACTCCTCCTCCTCCTCCTCCTCCTCCTCCACCTCCTCCTCCTCCTGCTCCTTCCTCCTCCTCCTCCTCCTCCTCCTCCTCCTCTTCCTCCTCCGCCTTCTCCTCCCTCTTCCCTCCTCCTCCTCCCTCCGCCTCCTCCTCCTCCTCCTCCTCCTGCTC